AAAGGAGAATCCATAGCTCCTTGAGGAACACGACATGGCGTCCATACTCCTTCGTCCGTAATGAAACTCAAAGGCTCCCTACTGTCCACATCAAGCGGCAGCTGAGAAAACCCACTTGGCATGTCAAAACCTGCGAATCCGTAAGCTCCTGCAACGTTCCCAGAGGACGACGTAAGATCAGCACCTGTGCCAGCAATCGGCACGGTTACCACGTTCACCGGTCGGTATCGACCGTCAATCGAAATTCGTTTGGCCGGCCAACCTTCGCAACCGGCACCGCCGCACAAGCCCACAAGCTCATGTTGTTTCGATAGATAAATCCGTTCTTTTCCAGCATCTGGACATGTTCTCGTAGAAACGCGCTCTGTGCTGGAGAATAACGGCGAGGGCGAGCTCGGTAAGGCTGAGCTTCTGGCTTCAACGTGATTCGTAAGGGTTCGACATCTGCAGGTGGGTCGTCGAGCAAGTCGACTAAAAAAACATCTTCATGATCCAATACAATTTCACGAAGGCCACCCAGATAATCTCGATCAAAGCCACTATCACCCGCCGCCGCCACCATTTCCTCCAATTTTACGTGTACCTCAGTTGGGGGCATCATGGATGGGACACCTAAATCGAACGGGTCTTCGTCCGCAACAGGGGGGCCAGATGCTAGTTGTGAAAGCTGCTCATTGACATCAATGCCAAGCGTTTTCAACGTGTCATTCCCAAGGATGAAATCTGACTCAGGACCTTCCATCACTTTGCAGTACACATCAGACAAGTGTACGGGACCTGCAACAGTCTGCAACAGTAGATCCAGCGTGACTGCTTCACGACACTCCACTGTATTTCCTCCTGCCGCACTCTTTTTCTCTGTTCGAGGTAATTTCATCACGTTCAGAACTGCTCCAAGTCCAATCAACTCATCTAAGTACTGTCGAGGTAGGTATGTCTCCTCCGACCCTGTATCAGCAAGGAACGGGATCGTCAAAAGGTTATTAACCATTGTTTCGCCCGGCGCAGGTGCCGATCCGATCTTCTTGACACGTCCATTTGTCGCTTGACGAACCTCCTTCATCTTCTCCACGGCTCGAGCTTTCTCGTCTTCGCTCGCCGCTGGACAATCCCTCAACCAATGAGGTCCCTGGCAGTGCCAACAGCCCGTCTTCGGTGGAAGTGTTTCTTTCTTGGGCAAATTCTGCTTCACACTACCGCCAGCACCACCACCGCGTATACTACCAGTGGAACCCTGCGTATTTGCTGTCTTCATACTTGCTGATCTGGCTTCAGGTTTGTTGTTGTTGCGATCATTCGCCTTATCCTTCTTGGACAAGTTCGACTTGACCTTCTGCTCATGTGCCATTAGATGGTACTTATGCTGTGCACGGGCTTTCTCCTTAATAATCCCAAAAAGCGTGAAGTCGTTGCGCCTCGCTTCACGACATTCGTACTTTACGTGGCGACGCACGTCGTCTCGAAGCATCTTCGGCTCCAAGTTATCGATGAGAACAGTGCGCCGTAGTTTCATTCGGTCAACGTACCCACCGTCGGCAGGATCACCCACACCAAGGATCTTCGTAAGACCATTTTCCTTAATGAGCGTAGCGAAGTCCTTGTAGTATTTGAGTACTCAAGCGTCAATGTCATCCTCTCGGAGGTCGATCTTCAACAGTCGTGAAAAAAATTCGTCTAAGTCTGGGACTTGGGCGTTCTTAACAGACCCGAGTTTGGCGTCGATCAGGGTGACCAATTCTTCACTCGTCACCTCGTCGACAGCCTTCCGGAGTTCGTAAAGGCAGAGTACTTCGAGCAGTTCCGGGTCAGCACAAGTCTTAACCGGACGCAGAGCAACTTCCAGTCTTTCCCCACTCTCAGTGCAACGCTGGCGAACAGTACTCACGTATTGTTCCCACCTCTTCTTCCAGCTGACAGCTGCGTCCTGACTCCAGTCTGTCAATCTGGGTGCTTGAACAAACTCGAACACGGGTTGCTGAACGTTTTGCATCAAAGCATCTCCGTCCGCGTCGAAGCATCGAATCGAGCTTCACTGCTTTGCATCTTGTCGCGGTCCTAAAAGGACTAAAGTTAACTTTGTGGTAAGTTCCGCTGAATGCTTGTTGCTTGCGAGGTAAATGCAATTGTGAGTTTATACGAACTGACCTATTGTCCTTCTTGTCTTCTAGTGCTATGCCGCACGTATTGACTGGCCCTGAGCGCTCGGCGCCAGGTTGAAGTCCTCACCATGGTTGTGGTTGTTTTCTGAATACCAGATAGCCTCGAAGATGTAATACAGGCTGTGCTTCAGCCTACAGCAGCTCTCATCAGAGGCGTCAGCCTTTGTTGTCCAACTTGTCAATACTTGCACCGCTCTTGAGCAGTACTTTAACAATGCACAAATAATATTTTTCTGAAGCTATGTTGAGAGCGCTGGCTCCTTCAGCATTGGGTATTTTGATGTCTGCTCAAGCTTTGAGGAGAAGGACCAGTACATTCGGATTACCGATATGTGAAGCGGTTTCCAATGGTGTCAGTCCAAGATCGTTGTGGGATTCACGTAAGCGTGTGTTAATTAACTTGATGGCACCCCGTTCGCATACCATTCGAAGAGCTGTGTCTCCATTTCGGGCCTTTGCAGCAATTGTGGTCGCTGTGTGGAATGCCACTGAAGTTGACAATTATGACTGGGAGACGAGGTCTCTATCCTCGAATGTTTGCGCATAAATGATATGCACAAGCTCTAAATAGCCACTGAAGTAGGCCACAATTAGTGGTGACCAATTCTGACAATCTCCACATGAAGAAGCATCTGCTCGAACAGCCGCTAATCGCTTGTACCAGACCGCAGTGATCAAGCCCGTTCCTCCCTTCCGTAAACGTGCGTTCATGCAAATGGGACCACTTTTCTTAATATTGCATGCGAGTACGGACACTTCAATGTCGTTGTCGAACTCGTGAATAGTGGCGCTTTGATTGAATTAACTGACAACGAAGGATACATCCCTCGGGTTTTCCAGTTTTTGGTGAGCAGAGATGCCAACTTGTCCTCTGTAAATTAATATGAGCTCCACTCCGCAGCAGCTGCTCCTTCACGACTGCAAGATGCCCTCGCTCAGTCGCTTTCATGAGCGATGACCAGCCCTCTTCATTGGTCCAATTAGGAGAAGCACCCCTCGCTAAACCACCGAGTCATGGCCTCCCAATGCCGCGTGAAATAATGGATTTCTCACGTTAGTGTTTAAAGAATTTTTATCTTCGCTCCGTTATTGACAAGCAACTCAGTCATAGACAGACCCCCTTGTCGACACGACATTTTGACCGCAGTGTCCCCATTTGAGCGCTTTAAGTCGACTTCGGCTCCACTTTTAGCTAGGGTGGCAGCTACAGTTGCATGACCGTCGTGAACAGCATTCATTAGCGGCGTCCAGATCATTTACTCGGACAAGTCAACACTCGCACCGTTCTTGACCAGTAGCTCAGTAACAGAGATGTAGCCACTTCGAGATGCAATGGTAAGTGCGGTGACGCCATTTCAAAGTTAAATGTTAGTATCAGCTCTAGCACGTAGAAGGATATCTGCCACCTTCGCGTGGCCATTCAACGCAGCGACCATTAGTGGCGTCTAACCGTCGAGTCGACGTGTCAACACTGGCACTTTTTTCGAGAAATAATCCAGCGAACGAGACCTGCTCATGCGGTGCGGCGATATGAAGAGCGGTGCCTCCATTGGGTTCATCAGAGGGGTCCAGCCCTCTCTATTCGACATGTCGACACTCACACCGCTCTCGTGAAGTAATTTAATAACATGAAGCTTACAATACGAAGAGCGGTGCCTCCAGTCGGTCGTTGGAAGCCGATGTTAGCCCCAGCTTTCAGAAGGATTTCAATTACATTCGCCTCGCCCTCAAGTGCAGCGACCATTAGCGGCGCTCTGCCGTCTTTATTGGGCATGTCAACACTTGCGCCGTTTTCGATAAGTAGCTCAACAATAGGCAGATAGCCATACTCAGAAGCGATACGAAGAGCGGTGTCTTTATCGGCGCATTGGCAGCCAATGATAGCGCCAGCTTTCAGAAGAGCAGTCGCTGCATTCGTGTGACCATATAATGCAGCGGCCATTGGCGGCGTCATATCGTCCTTACTCGACTTATCAACACCTGCACCGCTCTCAAGGAGTAAATTGCAAAGTATAGCGAGCGCATCATGTTGAGCAGCGATATGAAGAGCAGAGTCTTCATATGGTGTTTGTAAGTCAGCGATATCCCCATATTTCAGAAGGACGCCCGACACAATCGCATCGTCTTGACATGCACCGTTCATTAGTGACAGCACTTATTATTAATAATACACACACTCGAACTTCGAGACGAAGAACTTGTCAAAAGATATGCTGCAACCTACGGTGATATCTTTGCCCCTATTTTAGTATTCGAAGTAGTAGCCGTGTACATTAGAGTTACAACTCAATGAAGTTAAACTTTTTTGTCCTATCTGTTGGACAGCATGGTCTTTTGCTTTTGAAGCTGCTAGTACGACAAGGAGGACACTAAACTGGCTCATGCGCGGATAGAACGACAATTAGACTTTATAATTATAGTCATATAAGCTCGGGTTTCGAGACAGTATTGCCAAGAGAGTGCAGCAAAAAGGATTTTGTGCTCTTAATTTGTCCATACGGGATAGTAAGAAATTGGGACTGTAACAACATAACCTAAATGATCGGCAGAAGACGGAAAGGTGGCATTTCCGGAGATAAGGCAGATTGCAGTCCACCAAGGCCAATGTGAACGCTTTATATACGTGATCGGGACTCGTCGTGGGGGTTACAAGCCTTCAAAGTCTTTTTTTGTGGCGTCATCAGAGATATGTTAGGGATCGAAGAAAACCAGCCCTAGGTCTTTAAAAACACCAAAGATACGTAATATATCCTTCGGTTTATCGTGGAATAGAGCGTAATAGTATAGCAACAAGTTTGAAAACTCAGACGTTGCCGAGAGGCATGACTACTTTGAAGAACACTATGTGGAGACAGCCGCTGCCTTTTGCAGCTTGTAATAGTCGAGATACCCACGCCAAACCTGTGCATCCGGGTTCGTCGTCCACGATGCTTTCTTCATGTTTAGCATTTTCCAGATTCGAGACGGCTTTGCTCCTTCTGCGAACCAGAGTTTAAATTGCGCGCTCTGTAGGGCCGTTGCTTGCGCATGCGTATTGGGGACCTTCTTAGCTGCCTCGAGCATCTTGGATACAGCTTCATCTCCGTAAAAAACCATCAGCTCTTTGATGACACTCGTTTCCTTGCCAGGATTCTGCTTGTTGAATAGTCTGACATAGGTTTTCAGAGCTGTGAAACTCGGATTTGTCAGCAAACTATCCACGCCCTTGTCAAGTGTCAGGAATTTTAACACTGCGTCCATTGACGTTTTCTCGCGCAGCCAAACTTTCATGTGGGCAACTTGCAGCTTCGTCGCGATTCCGCTCGTTGCATCCACTTTTCTCGCGGCTTCCAGCATCGTTGCCAGACGCTCGTCGCTAGAGCGAGCTGTCAACGCTGTCACGATAGCTGTCTTTGGGTGCTTCTTGTTGGTCTTGGTCATATAGCTGACCCATACGCTGAACTGTTTGTTCTCAAGGAGTTTATCACCAGCCTGATCGAGTTTTAGTAGCGTGAAGGCTTCATCCGCAGTTTTTCCTTGGAATCGCATAGCCCCCACCTTCGCTTTATCCAAAATCTTGGACGTTGACCATTTTGCTGCGCCCCGGAGCTTAGTGATGACCGGATTATTGAGAATATTAATAGCGTTTCTCTCTTCTTGATTCGGTGGTGTACCACTCCTAGGTAGCCCCAGAGGTTGAAGGTAACGCTCACGCTGGGCTATGGAGTTAGCAGCTGAAGCCACATCGAGATTCTTTAAGTGCACTAGGGCAGCTAGTAAGAACGCTACGTGACGCATTGAGGTCGATGATATTGTGACTCTTGCGAGGCTTTGAGAGTAGATTCTAGAGTGAGCACATGTACAACTTTATACCTTGACGACTTCCGCTGATGATTAGTACTTGCAGCAGTTTGGGTGGATAAACAAATAAAAAAAAAACGCAATCCATGTAATCACGAGATGGTAAATAATCCAGACAAGCCAAGCATTGAATGCTTGGCTTGTGCTTAGCATGTGAAGAACTTATCAACAGATGTGCTACAACCTACCGTCATACCTTTACCTCTCTCTTAGCATTTGTCATTATATCCGTGCGAGCCAGTTTAGTGTCCTCCTTGTCGTATATACATGTGTCATTTCTCTGAGATGTTCATGATTCGTTTCATTTATCATCATAAAAATTCTCTCGATAAACATGACTCATTGCACATAATTTGTTATTGTGGATAATTTTTACAAGCTTACCATTTCGAATTTCCTAATGTAAAATTTGTTGCGCTCTAAACGGCTCTTTGGAAAATAGACCGCTTTTCGTATTTACAACCAAAGAAATGGCCACAGGAGTATGCTACCATTTTGACCCCACGCAGATTCCACGCTACATTAATTGGAATATTTTACTATACTATACGCTCACACCTTTTATTGCCCTTTTACGTTAATATTTGCTGTGGCTCTTTGGAAAATACAGATACTACGACCTCTTTTCGCTCTTACAGCCACATTTACAACCAATTTGGCGACTAACTTACGTGGCCAGCGTTCCTCCCACGCAGATCCCGTGCTTAACTAACTGGAATTTCATTACAGCACTAACAATCGTCGGCATTACTTATTGTTACAGAGTGTTGATTATAGCTCACTGTGCATTTATATTAGCTATTGTTGCTCGCTCTAACTTACTTTAATTGAGCCTGTCACTTTACTTGTTGCCATTTTGCACCATGGCTTTCAAACCACGCGGTTACGACTCCGACGGCAAATTGCCCTTTCAAGGTTCGTCGCACTCGTGCAGCTATTTGACTGGACACCATACACAATATGGCCTTGACCTATTGTAGCCTTGAAGAGGAACTCGACTACTTTTTACGGGAGCTCAAGGCCGTGTACGCTACTATCGACCGACAACAAAAACGGTTGTCCGCACCATGCCGAACAAAATCCATCATGTACACAGGCTACTTGTGCATGAGGACGGCGGGCAATTGGGTGATATACCCCACGG